GAATCAGTTTTACTCTAATTCAATCAACTTGTTTGAGTGTATAATATTACGGACAAACATTCATCGGCAATACCAAAGAGTATAAGATAGAGCGGAAAACTCCCATTAGTGGCAATGTTAAAAAGCGTACACGAGTTTCAACGCCTCTAGTGATTGTGTCCAGCCACGAAAACGGAAAGGTTTGAAAGGTAAAATGTGAAAAAAAAATTAAATATAAATAAAGCGCTGTTATCCGTTACAAGCTACTGTAGTATTTTCAGTGTGAGGCATTACTTTAAACCGCCATGACAGTACTTTACAAATAACAGACGCATTCCTAACAGCATACGCGATCTTCCTTTGTGTCTTATACGCTTTGGGTAACACTGAATGGAAATATAACAATAATAAGAATAATCGCATAATCTATTCTTTCATAATTAAATGCGAACTTATCTTAAATTTAAAAAATGTATGTTTTATTTATTTATTTTATTAAATAATTATTTCCTTTATCCAGCATTTAGATAATACAAATGTCAAATTAAAATAACCAATAATTTCAGTTTTTTCTAATTTTCTGTTCAAAAAAAATAAATAAATTGAATACAGATGTATTCTCAGGATGCAATACACACTGTATTATGTATTATGTATGTATGTAAATTAAGGCTACTGTTTGATCAAAATAAAAAAAATATTTTTAATGTACAAAGAAGAAACGCGACATTAACCAGAAAACAATTACATAGACTATTGACCAGAACTTTGTGTATTACTAATATTTCTTTGCTATGCTATGCTAGCTTCAGACCTTCATACTTATCAACATGTTCTAAAAAAGTATTTTTTTACACTGCTCCTTGGCACCCAAATTTGTAATTCGCTGAAAGGTAATAAAGCAGTATAAGTAAAAAAATATTTGTATGACAAATATTTTGAAATATTAGAATTTACAGCTTTTAAAAATGCAAAAAAATTATGCATTTACTTTAGGGAAGAATGAAATCAATGCCTTTCTGAAATCTTAATTTCGGATATGGTAGTAACTAAAATATTAAACAAGTAATTCGTATATAAAAATGCTGTGTTTCCAATTCCATGTTATATTAAATTTTCCATTTTAAATGAGAAATATTTATGGATCTCAGGAGTAGAAAATCACATCTAGCGGGACGAGGTTTCATTTTCCACAAAATATGGAGAATTTTACAAATATAAACCAGAAGCGCATCTGCATATGCCTTAATTCCAATGTGGGAACTTCGTTTAAGTAAATATTTTTGGTTCGTATCTTGCGCAAAACTATACAAAGAGGTGCACGAAAAACAGCTTCTATCTTGATTGTATCCCAATGACCTCAATAGGCTAAAATAACTGTTAATTGAATAAATCAGCTTATAGAAGAATTCAACTCGGATAAAAGTTTTTAATGCGTTCTAAAAACAGAAATACTTATCGTAAAGCTAGCGATGATCCACCAACAGTCCACAAACTTCACAAACCTGTCTTTCAAATATAATATTGAAGAAACACCTATTAAGCTATGCTATTGCAAGGCTTATGCTTCGATCCGGAGTGCACAGATTTATCAAGAATTTGGAAGTATGATTCAGTGAAGTCGGCCAATGATCAGACAGTATTTTGAAGACAAAATTATGTGCCTTTAAATTCGTGTATTCATTCATTTTATTCAAGTCAATACATTTTTGGTGGCGCGTTAAAAGTAATGTATTAAAGGAGCTCCCACTGAAACGTCAACAATATTATTTGTTAAGTTTTCGTTAGTTTGATCATTCGAAAAACGGCGAACTATTTGACATTATGTAGATTGATTAGCTCCAAAACAGTCGACAAATATGGTTTGATTCAGTGTGTTGATATTGTGCTTGACACTTTAGATAGTCTTCCAAATTAAAACAAAAGTTAATTTTAAATAAATGTATGCTGTATATAATGTATTAACAACATGAATAGTTTGAGTATGAAAGAGGCAAGTTATAATTTCCCACCACATTTATTTAGAAAATAATAATGAGAACAATAATAATAACAACAGTTCATTTGCTGCAAGTTTTGCTTAATTAGAAACTATAGCTAAGTCTAATAACCAATTTTCCATGAAAACGGGAACTGAAATTCAAGTTAAAAAAGATCATAGGTCAGCTCCAAAACTAAAATATTCTTTATCAAACGTTTTCTATAATATACTATTAACATTAGAATATACATATGGAGAATACATTGGTTCACGTCAACTTTAAATCTTAGCTCAGAATCAAAAATTAACCTAAGGTTGCTGCTCTGATTTTAATTTTAATATTTTGACATAATCTGTGAGTATGTGTTACAATTGCTATTAGGAATTCATAACTTAATAGATCAAGTGCTTAGGCGGCAATAATGGTATCCCATTTATATTTACTGCAGCTGAATCCTGGCTTCACATGGCAGTAACATACAAAATCGCTCAATAGCTTCCCTCATTCGATAATTCATTCTTCTATTACTTTCAAAAGTATTGGCAATATACTTATAACAATTGCCAACATTTTTTCTTACAGAGAAGCCATTTTGCTTTCATTTGGGAAGATATTTTCTTAGAAGCAAGAATTTATAATCAAAAGAGAAGACATAACCTGGTCTTCCTCCAGAATAATTTAATGTAAAATTCTTTTTTATATATAAAAATGCATGAATACGTCATCATCATACATGCTGATCTTCACCTAACGATTGTAATGTAAACATCAAAAACCAGCATTCCACACTAAGCAGAAACTGTAAACTAATATGAAAGAAGTAAAAAGACGTATGAAGACTACATACACATCTCTTCCATGGTTAAACCTTTAAATGTTAAGATTTATGTACTTTTTATTTATTAATTTTATTAATTTTGATGTGATTTTGAATTTCTCCAACTGAGGAGAACGTTACAAATCTGAAATAACGACTAATTAGACACTTAGGCACTTAGACTTAGACGATTTGAAGACAAAAAATTAATTAATCAAAAAATTGCCATCACATAATATGGAAAGAAAATTCTAAACAGTTCTACGTTTGTTGATAATTTTGTTTTTACTGCTTTCCTGGAAGGATCGATGGTTTGTTCCACTTGTTCGATCTGTTTCATCTTATAAAATTTTCTTGACAGGGTAATTATTTTTACGAATTGAACATCTCTTAGCTGTCGAAGCGCAGCGAGCGTAGGATTTAGAAAATTTGATTTATTTACTTCCATTCCGAAACATTATTCTATCTTTACAGGTTGTCGCACGTCGTCCTAGATGCGCGATATTTCGTAAACACGTACGAAGTGGACGTTTCGTGCAGCAATCGACGTAAAAACATGGAATAAATTTGCAAAATATTGTAAACTTTCTGATCATTGTTGACTTTCCTCGAAATTATTTTAATGGGAAAAAAATCTGTTATTATCCATTCACTCATTATTCACAATTTGGAACATGGAATTATGAAATTGGAAGAAGTACATATCACATAGGAAGTGGATCATCTCTCCAAGAATGATGTATTTAATTTTTCAAAGAAACTTCCACAGGCTACTGTAATACTTTTTGCAAAACTTCTGGATTGCTCCTGCGTCGGTTTGTGCTGAGTCGAAATTGCTGACCTTACCTCTGCTCTTCTCTCTAATAATTTCCACATTAAAGATATTAAGCGTTCCATCAAAAAATACACTTCACCACAACCTTCCAATAGCAATGATGCCGAAAGCAATCCTACACTTGCCACTGTGGGTCTTCTTTACATTCAAAACATCACTGACCACATATCAAAAGTTCTAAAGAAGTATAACGTCAAAACCAGATTTACCACTTGTCCAAAAATCTCTCAACGTCTTCGGTCCGTCAAAGACAAAATTCCATTTGAGATGCCAGGAATTTACAGCATTCCATGCATAGGCGGCAAAGAATACATTGGAGAGACCGGACGAAAAATATCAACTAGGCTCAAAGAACACGAAAGAGCCTTGCGACTAAGACAAATAAACTCATCAGCTGTTGCCGAACACACTCATGAAACCGGGCGGAAAATTTTATTCGATAAAACTAAAATTCTTGCATGTAATCAGTTCTTCTACCAACGAAAAATCCGAGAGTCTAAAGAAATCTACAAACAACCTAACAAACTTGACCACGACTCAGGTCTCTACCTGTCACCAATTTGGGAATCAGTCATCCGAGACGATGTTTACGCCTCTCATTTAGCTCCGCCCCCCTCAAACAATATATAAGCAGGTACATAGTACGAGCCAGTTTCAGTCAAGCTCTGAAGACGCAAACAGGATTATTGGCGAAACGTCAGCAATTTCGACACAGCAAAAGAAATGATGATGTATTTAATGAAAACATTGAAATATTTATAATAACAAATAATAATAACACGTTTGTTCGACTTTTTATCATTTAAATTATTACGACATATATAGAATGTGAAAAAGAATTTATCATATTTTTTGAAACCAAAAAACCTGAAAATAAACAACAACAAGAAACCATTCCTACACAACTTCGCCTTATTCACATTTTTATTTATTTATTTAAATTAATATTAACTAAAATTAATATTCGTCAATTTACAAAACTCAAATCTTGGAAATATTCAAAATTTGCATTGTTTTCCTCTTTCCGCTTCAAAACGCAATTTTACCTTTTTGGATTATTTTTTATGATTTCTGAACAAAAACCTTATGTTTAAAATTTCGGTTATTTGGAACCAATTCTTAGCCTAATTTAATTCTCATTAGCCAAGATGATTTTCGTCAGTTCTTTTTATTTTAGTTCCCGAGTGCATTTTCCATTGAGGTCCCGGTTTTTCCAAATTTAAGTAAAAACTGTTAGTGAAAATTATCGAACATAATCGGAAATAATCGCTAGAAAAGTCCCAGTAGGTATTCTAAAATTAAATTTTTATTTTGTAAATAGTCAAAAAAATGCCGTTTGAATTTTATATTGAATTTTCCGCCCGAATCAACGGAAAACGTTGCTTACCGTGTATTCGCTCGAAGTTGAAGTCGCTTCTCTTCACGCAAACTTTTCACGAACTTGCCAAAGTTTCCCGACGATCCCGCAGGATTCAACAGGATTGAATGTCGGACACGACTGGGGATATTATCGTTTGCGCTTTGGTTATTAAGACGCAAAGTCGGCCCAAAGTTTCAAAACTGCGAACTGTTTCACACATGCGCTTTTTGTCGAATCGAGTTTCGTGTTCCACAAGGACCCTAGACCCAGGGATACACTTTGAAGTCATTTTCGAATTTTCTGTACTAGCCCAGGATATATTAAAATTAATTTGTTAAGCATAAAGTGTTTTAAGGAGATGAACTTTTTGAACAATTTAAATTTAACTTAATTAGTAAACAACAATTTGAAAGCCATTTTCCCTAAATTATTCTCGTACTAAGTAAAACAAAATAAAAATGAAAAAAAAAAAACAAGGATACTAGCGCTTAATTCCAAATAAGCTGTTTTGCCTAAATTAATCCAACCTTTTAAAAAAATATATAATTGCATAGTTTGAGATAGTTCTTTTTTAATTTCAATGACGAATTAAAATAAAAAAAGTTGTTTTTCTCTAAATTGAAATCCAATAAGGCTAGGTGATACCCAACTTAAATTCCGACTAAACTCTTTCTTTTTTAACAATTAAGATATTTTTATGTAATGTAATTTTTTTTTATGCCAATATATAACAGCTGTTTCTCTATAAATTTCGGAGAATCTCAGCTTCGTTGTCAAGAAAGACGAAACGTTTAATGAGGAAGCGCCTTTAAAACATTATTTACTAAAATATTTTTACTCCAATGAAACAACTGCGTATAAAGGCAGTAGACCTTTGAAGAACTTCTACTTTTGCCATTTCTCAGGGCATCAATGCATTGATACGTAATTTAATAAAAAGAAACACTTGCTTTAAGATTGCCACACACATGTTTATTGCTTTGACAATTGTTTCGGTAGACTGTACCTTCTTCAGAAAGGATCTCTAAACTCAGTTTAGAGATTCTTTCTGAAGAAGGTACAGTGTACCGAAACAATTGTCAAAGCAATAAACATGTGTTTTTATTAATCTTAAAGCAAGTGTTTGTTTTAATTAAATTACGTATGTAATGGATTATCTTCAAGTAACAGTCAACTCAATCAAATGCATTGATACACATCAAATTAACTTGTAGGATGACCATTGCCATGATGAACAGGAATGCTTTCGCAATCTCGTCGATGCGCGAGGCCACTGCTTTCTATTTCAAAGAAGCCGCTTGACCTTGAGGAGTCTATTGTTTTTCTCTCGTACCACTATGGTACTATAGCAAAATAAATGTAATTTAGTGCCTTTCACGGCTCGCTAAAATCCAAAATGATAGCAAACTTTAGTAAATATAAAAATTTGTACCAGTAACAACAATTTTAATTGATATCTTTTCGAAAATCTCGCACACCCTGTATTATGGACGAAAACTGTAAATAGAAAATTGTAGCTCTCGATATAGTTTACGATACCGTTTAAACCAAATTATTCCATGTTTTGCCGTTTTTCATTTACGAACAATAATTTACCCAAAAAAAAAACGGAAAGTTTTCGGATTATTAGATTTTTTTGTTAAGAAACAGCACACCCTCTATATAATTCAAAAAATATTCGAAGTGGCTATTAGAGTAAAATTGATAAAAAATACTATAAAAAATACTTTATACTTAAATGCGGGTGTGGACTTCTATCTCTCTGCTAAACTTGAACTCGATAGCTGCAAATTTAAGACACTTTTTACATTTCTTTCTGTTTTAGCTATTTATGCGGGCTATATCTGCATGTTAAACAAACTGACAACTTAAATACAGGTTTTTAGTTGTGGTCGATTTTCATAAAAAGAGGAATCCCTTTTCAAGATTTTCGCGAATACACGTAGCACCCATATCTTTGAAAAATTAGTAAGAGTAAAAATGTATGGACCACAATCTGATATGGGCTTTGGTTTAATAAATCTTTTGATCGCATCAGCGATTTTCGAGAAATTATTTCTTTCCTGGACCCTTGCAAACACAATTTTTAATTTTTAACAAGTACTTGCTGACCCCCAGCAATTTCAATAGGCTCCGTTAGGGGACTAAACGCTATTTGCCTGCCAAACTTCAAATTAAAAGGTTCCAAATTCGTGCTAATTGATTTTCGAAAAAGGCTACTAGGAAGTATTCCCAAGAAGACACTACTATACCATTTTAAGACGCACATCGTCATTACATCTCACCAAAATCCGGATGGTCCTCAACCATTTTAAGAACGTTTTTATTTTTAACGCAGGATGGCGTTTCGTCGTGAATTCAATGCAGAACTCGAGAAGCAGGTACGCTAAAGCAGTGGCCGAGAAAGAAGAATAAGCAGACAAATTTGGAAGTTGTAAGCACTCGAAAAGGTAAACGTCAAGTGGTCGAAGGGCGTCTTTTAATGAGTGAGTCCGTACAAATTTTATTCAAAAAACGACGAGAGACGAATTGAAATACAGTGCATTTTTTTTATAACTGGGCCCTTAATAATGACAGGATATTTTTTGAGGCACGCGGTCGGTTACTCGAATAGAATTTTTGTTGGTTGGAAGCAAGGTAAGGAGGAATCCCTGCGTTTTTGCTTCAGAAAAGATGAACTGAAAATTTTACCTTGAAATATTCGTATATTTCTTTCTCTCCCCTCTATAGTCTTTTTTCAAACCTAAACAGTTAAAATTTATGATATATTCTTATACCTTCACTGATGAACCTCTGTCAGTTATACACTGACAAACCCAGGCATTTTAAAAATTAAAAGCTAATTAAAATTAAGTTACCTCGTTGAATTGCAATAAGTGCATTTGAAAATGTTCTCTGAAATGGAACGTTTTAGATTAATTTAGAAGAAAATACTTTATTGAAGTATTCAGTTTTTGAAAATTAGTTTATTCGAGGGTATTGAAAATTGGCACATTTCTAGGAAAGTATAAAAGAAACAACTTTTTTCAATATTTTTAAAAAGTGTCAATTTTGACAGGTAAAGGCAACGTTGAAAACCTTTTTTAAATTACCCTACTACCCCCGAGATCAAAATTTACTAATAACTCATTAATAAATAAATATCACTGTACATTATTAAATGACATTTCTTTATACATATTGTAGAGAACAACTAACCAGTTTTTAACCATATCAAAAATATTTAATGAAGCAGAATTGAATTCAATTGTAGTTTTAAAACTTGTGAGTTAGAATTTTCTAAAACTTAACCATTTTGATGCAAATGGGTATTAGCACCAGCAAGTACTAAAAAAATATAAACAAAATTTGAGTCGCATCTCAAAATACTTCACGACCACAGCCCTAGCGTATTAATGTATAAACCATGGATTTTTCGAAAATTAGTATCTTAAAAGTATTAACAACATTTGATGATGGATAACTTGTTCTTTATTACTAAGATTTTATTAAATTTTTTCGCAGAGTCGAAAGAAAACCGCTCGGTATACATCAATCAAAATTCTTGCTTTGTTCAATAATTAATAACTGAAATGAATCCAGATATCAGAGTTCATAAAAAAGCAATACCGACCTAGTTGAATAGAGGAAAGTTTCTATAGTATTCAAATGAGAACCAATGAAGCCAGAAAAGGCGTGGTCTTCAGCCAGGCAAGCCTTTCGTAACCAGAACTGTCAAATTGATAGAGATTACAGAGCTTATAGTGCCTTGTTTTTGGAGGTTTTGCAGTTGCTTTTTGTGTTTTAGTCGTATATCAGCATATCCTCATTAACAGCTAACCCAGCAAGGCTTTCTTGTCAATAGTGATTAATATAACAAATACACTAAAACGCATTAAATTCTTAATTGAAGAATAAATGTTTTGAGATTAAAAGGAAGAGACCCAATAAATTCTTAATATTTCGGAACTGACACAAATCCTGGAAGATTCATTATATTGTCACAAGCATGAGAACCGAACCGTAAAAGTGCATGAAAGCACTAAAATTTTGTTTTCCCATAATATAGTGATTAAATTCCGTATTAGGGAACACACCTGACTTGATTGGCAACATTGCTGATAAAATTGAAGTTTCTTAAAAATTCATATCTTTGTTGGTCAGAAGCAAAATATTGATGACGAACATGTGTTGGACCATAATACGGGAGCGATTATATCAAAGGCAAAATTGCGGTTTAGTTATATGCGCTACCGACCTCGGCATAGTCGAAAAACGTTAAAACGAATATAAACTCTCGACATACCTATGCATAATTTATCAGCTCACATTGTGTTCAATTCTAGAAGAAGTGGCGAAATTAAAAATTCTTTTTGAACTCATCGCGACAATAGAGCAGCCGAGGAGTTGAGATCGCGAACAATTGAGTGCGGAAATTTTGCATCGGCCATCTTTTTTTTGCGCCGCTCTGATCTTCGCAGTGCTCTGTGTTCCCTTATATTTTTTTGTTAAACGTCGCTGCCTCTATTAAACACAACGACGTAGTAATCTATTCAAAAAACCAAATTTGCGTCGTTGCAGTTAGACAAGGGCTGAAAGAAATATTTAAAACAGGGATAATATTCCCATTCGAACGAAATAAAATTAAAGGTCGCTTTTAAAGTCCGGGATAAATTGTGGGCACTCCAAAAGACAAAAGTATCAACGAGTATAATTAACTCAATTTTTTATTTTTTTGTTGCTCCCAATTACTGGCGCTTTGTTAAGAGGTGCATTTTTAATGACATCTTTAATTCGATCAGCGTTTTGCGAGGTCAGTGTCGAAAGGTGCTCGAATAAATCCAATCTTTCGTTATTATTAAAAAATACGATTTTGCATATTTTTTATTTTTTAGAACGCTCAGCCACGTAGGTATCAGCAAAAATCCAATAGGTGTCTGTTTTTCAGAACTTACTTTCTAGTTAGATTTTAAAGTTAACAGCCTCTTGGTATTAGCTACGTATTTTTTTTAGAAGCTGGTTAATTTCATTTCTGAAAGTTCACTTTTAGTCAGCAGTGAAATACTTTCACTTTTTTTGATTTTGGCGTTTTCACTTCACTAGATACTCTAATTCAATTATAAAGAGCTTTCATTAATAGGAACAAAAAATAATGCAAAGATTGTAAAAAATTGCAACAATTAATAGTCAAAGAAATCTTACTAATGTATCTAATAGCAGCTAATAAACTAAAACTATCTATTTAAGCAAATTATCTTCCTCCTCAAATTATTGATGAATTTCTATCCAAATGATTAAAATGTTATTCTATCCCCGCTCGCACAATTTGCTTGGAAAAAGTGCAAAATAAACAAAATGCTAACTACAAACTTTTTATTTTTTACAAAACTTCGGGATTCCTCCTACGTCGGTTTTTGTTGAGTCGAACTTGCTAACGTTTTGCCAATCATCCTATTGCCTTCTTCAAAGCATGACTGCAACTGGCTCGCATTTTACTCTGTACCTGCTTATATATTGTTTAAGAGGGACATAAACACCGTCTCGGGTGACTGATTCCTATATTGGTGATAGGTAAAAACCTGAGTCGCGGTTAAGATTGTTAGGTTGCTTATAAATTTCTATAGTCCCTCGTTGGTAGAAGAATTGATTACATGCAAGAATTTCAATTTTACTTTTTACAAAACTTCTGGATTCCTCTTGCGTCGGTTTTTGCTTAGTCGAACTAACTGACGTTTCGCCAATGTTGGCTTGTTGGCTTGGCTGTTGGCTTCTTCAGAGCTTGACTGAAACGGAAAAATCTCTCATCATTTTCGATCCGTCAAAGACAAAATTCCATTTGAGATGCCAGGAGTTTACAGCATTCCATACATATACGGCAAAGAATAAATTGGAGAGGCCGAACGAAAAATATCAACTAAGCTCAAAGAACCTGAAAAAGCCTTAACACTAAGACACATAAACTGAGAGTCTAAAGAAATCTATAAACAACATAACAATCTTAACCGCGACTCAAGTCATTACCCGTCACCAATATGGGAATCAATCATCCAAGACGTTGCTTATGCCCCTCATATATAAGCAGGTACAGAGTAAAATGCGAGACAGTTTCAGTCAAGCTCTGAAGAAGCCAACAGGATGATTGGCGAAACGTTAGCAAGTTCGACTCAGCAAAAACCGAAGCAGGAGGAATCCAAAAGTTTTCAAAAAAGTATTACAGTAGCCTGTGGAAGTTTCTTTGAAAAATTATAAAGGTTTTTTTAATATCCAAAATTTCTGAAGTTTTGTTTTCTAAGAATATAAACTATTGTCGAAAAGAAAAAAAAATTGGCAAAGGAAAATATGTATACTTTATATATCGTAAACCATTTTTTGAAAAAAATATTTCGCGCAGCACCGCAAATTACAGTAGGATTGTTTAATCCAAGCGTTCTTGGGTTTTGTTGTTTTAGTAATACCTAAACAAAAGAATTCAAATACAAAAAAGCAACAGTTTTATAATAGAAAAAAATCGTCAAAGGGTAAGCAGTATGCAGCAAATTGATTCGCTCCTTATATCTATTTGTTGTTGGAGATGCTCCAAATTGGTTTTAAATTAGCGAAAGGCAGGTAAACCGAAAATGTTAAAACCCCGAATTGGCGCTGCCCCCAAGCTCGAAAAAAACTTCAATATTAATATTAATAACCTATTTGTATAATAAAAACAAATTAAAGGGAACGGAATAAATTGGCTTCTGAAAAACGATACGAAAAAAAAACGAATATCAAATAGAAAAAGAATCTTCCTGCATTAATTTTGAAATAAAGAAACGCCAAAATTTTGAATTGAAAACAATATTACATTTCGAAAAATATTCCCCATTTTCTTATCTTGAAACAATCACCACCACGATATTGAATAATAATTATTTTAAGTACTCATTACGCCGAAACGTGATATTCTAAAGTTAGGAAACTCTACAGAAAAACATTTTCAGTAAAAATTTGCCTGTCGAAAAATTATAATTATTATCTAGTACCAAAATGTAAATTTGCAACGATTAAAGTTCAGATAAATTGCAATGATAGTATCTATAAATTCCGTATATCGGTGTTTAAAAATTACACATTTCGTTACTGAATTAGGGTCACTCTAATTTGCATACAGTAGAAAGACGAGTTTGGTGAATGAAAGTAACAACGGCGTCACTACAGGTAAAGTTCGCCTAACGATACACCGTTTTTATAACCTATATCACAAGCCAGGATCATATTTAAGATGTTAGTCGACAAGAAAACTTCCTAAAACAGTCCCTACTTGAGGTAGGTCGATTTCAATTTAAATTTGCCCATTTGCCCAGAAAGGTTAAACTGATTTCCAATTTAAGGGTCTAACATAATGACTCCATTTTTTTTACTAGGAAAGCAATACAAAATCTTATGTAGATAATTGATTAATAATCGATGTTTTCCCAGTTTGCTATTGGTTGATTGGTGGAGCTTGGTGGTGGACAAGTGGAGGACAAGATATTCAAGATATTCAAGACATTCGTGCTAAAAACAGACAAATCATATATTTAGATGAGTCCTGGTTTGATAGTCACGATACCGTCAACAAAGAATTGACTGATGGTAACAGCAGGATATGTTCGTTGGATATGCCAGTTTCGCAGGCCAAACGTATCACACTACATGCGGGCTCTGAAGCTGGTTGGATAGTTTTTTTGTTTTTTCGCTTCCGCAACACTGCACGACCGACGAAAAATTTAACACCCAAATCCGTAAAGAATTCTACCTTGTCGTTTCAGCGCGTACACCATGTCCATGGCGGTTACCGTTTTTTGTTTGGCGTGCTCCGTGTAGGTTACCGCGTCTCTGATGACGTTTTCCAAAAACACCTTTAAAACGCCACGAGTTTCTTCGTAAATCAATCCGGAACTTCATTTCACGCCTTCGCGACGGGCCAATCTTCTAATGGCCGGCTTGATTATTCCCTGCTTGGTTGCATCCTGCAAAAAACGTCAAAGAAACAAAGGTTGACAACAACGAAAACATGACAGCAGACATTTTTGAAGAACGGTTTTCTAAAAAATTGCGTCCCAATATTCCATCGAACACTGTTGTCGTGATGGACAACGCCAGCTACCATTCTGCACAACGGAAAAAATACCGAAAATAATATGTATTTTGAAAATTCCTTTACAAAGAAGCGGTTATTCGAAGCTCTTAAGACGGAAACGTTTGATAAGAAGTATAACGTGGACAAGTTGGCCATGAAGCGGGGATTCAAAGTTGTCCGTCTTCCACAACATCACTGCAATTTTTATCCGATAGAAGTGATATGGGGACAGCTGAAACCCAGTTTAAGAAGAAACAATAGAATTAATTAGAAGTGAAGTAGACAAAAAATATCTGCTTCTAGTTGGAAAACATGTGTAGAACATGTCGTCGAAGAAGAAAATGTTTACCGAAGTCGACTAGTGCCAGAATTAATAATAACATTGGTTTATAGCTAAATTTACTCCTTCATTTATATTTATAATGAACATTTTAAAGTAAGAATGGATTTTGCACTGAATTGACTAATAATAATCGAGGAATGTCACCTATGAAAATCTACACAAATCCGTCTTCGTGCATACAAATGCTTTCAGCATTTGTATGCACGAAGTACCGAAGTACGGCTCTGGAACATCATCCTGGAATTGCGAATCTATTTATTAAGAGTTACAGAGAGAAACCCAAGCGAGGTAGGCCTGCCGTTAGACCATCATAAAAATTTACCAAAATTTAATACCGGATTATGTCGCAAAAACGGTATATCGATGGGCGAACCATAGTTTATTATGACAATGAATATAGTAATTAATATACTAATTATTCCTAGATAAGTAAATAAAAACTTATATCGAACTAAGAATTTTATGTAAATAGATAAATTTTAATAAACATTATTATTTAAAAAAAATCTACTATCTACAATACACCTTCATAGCAATGTGTAAGTTAGCACGAGCATTCCAAGCTGAAATTACCGCAATAGAACATTGTGCAAGAGAACTAGAAATTAAAAAAAATCGTAATAAAACAATGTAACTACAGCCAAACGGCAATAAAAACTACGCAATCCAGCAAAATAACATAGTTCTGGATTGTCATAACATAGCAAGTGACGCTATCGTGGGAACCAGGGCACGAATTCCACAAAGGTAACGAAAGCGTCGACGAAATAGCCCGTGAACGCTCGTCAAGGTGTATGATCGGACCAAAACCCCTTCAGTGGGGTAGCCAAACCCGTTGCAAAGTCAGCCATCACGTAATGGAAATGAAGAGAATCCCGGGAATCGTGGGCAGACATGCCAGGACAAAGACAGGCCAACTCCGAGGCCCATCGGCTAAATTTACAAGAGACCTGCTAAGCCACAAAAATAGGTTGTAAGAACAATGGACCTAATGGGAGTGGAAGAAAATATTGAATGCAGATTCTGCAGGAGGAGGAAACATCCATACACATTATGCTAGTTTGAATGCCTATCCAGAGTGCTTTTCCATCAGGAGTCGCTATCGAAGGTATCAAGTCTGGTCTGATAGACGAACCCGGGTGACACACTGTAGCTATGGAGAGAGTCACAATATATCCTCTGGGTCGCAGTGACGGACAGGTCGATTGCTGACTCTCACAATCTGGAATCTGATATATCTTCAGAATAGTCAGATGTACTATAGTGGTTCGAGTGCAGAGAAATAATAAGGGGCCCCACAGCGTTGTCCAGCGTGTTACCAGCTTCCCCCATTATTTCTACTACTTCAAATCACATTTGCGACGCACTTACCCCATTTTTCACAATTCCCTCTTGCAAGAGAGTTTCAACAACTCTCATATTAAAAGTGATACTTTGCTACAAACGCTTTTATTTGCCACCATGATATGGTGAAATGCCGTTAGATTTCGTTTTGAAGCGATTTCGACAAAAACAAATTTTAAACAAAGAGATATATTATTGAAACTGCTTTTTATTATTGTTTGAACGTTTGTACTTTTTCGTTTTTTTTTTTTGAGTGGTTGTCCAATGTAATTATTTCATTTTTTAAGTGAAACGAATTTATTATTCTCCTGATGTCAATCTTTTCATACTCATTGATTACAAATTCATAACATTTTAACTACTTTTGCAACTTCGAATGTGGAGTTTTGGTAGCGAATAGCTTTGAGCACAAACAGTTTTGTCATTTTTCTTGTTTTCATGTTTCTTTATTTCGCATTTTACTGTTACGTTGTACATTATATGCACGTCATTTTATGATAGATTCTAAGTATAAATAAAATGTAAACCAACAAATATATACATAACAAATTTAGGCATTCACCAAACAAATATTAGTATAAATACGCACACAAAAATAATGCAATGTATTAAATTAACACACTTTAGAATTAACATTTAATACACTACAGAGGTGAGTCGTCATTATAGAATTCGTCTACCGCATAGTAACATTTAGCTATTAATAGTGATTTTAGTTTTTTTTATTAACAGTGGTAATTTAACCTTTTCGTCCTATAAGCTCTGGTCGATCTTTGCAATTTTGTTATAACATTTAATTCTGACGTATGTGGGATGCTGTTGTGCTACAGAAAATCTTGAAAATGGCTGTGTAAAATCATTTTTCGCCCGTTTATTGTAGTTATGTGCGTATTTTCTTTTCTGTTTATATATTATGCTTGTGTACGTATACAGGTAATGAATAAATATATAATGATGTCAATGTTAAAATTCCCAACTCTTTGAAATATCTTCTACAAGACAGTGACCCTTTTGATAAATATATCAGCTCGCTTGGGTTGCGTTTTTCAGAAACACATTCAGAAACACTAGTTATTTTTAAGAACGAACTTTGTCAATAAGTGTCGCAAAGTAAATATAATTTAAATTTTAAACACTAAAGCACAAGATCTATCTGGCACTCTCGGAAGACTTAAATGCGTAAATGTTGAATTTTTAATGAATAAACTTGAATATTGTGATATTGTGACCTATTGGACTTAATGTCATATCCCACGGATAGGTTTCAGTATGTGGTAGTTGATAACACTGCCTAGAACCTGTAAACAGGGGAGTGCCTCATTGCTCGGTACTGGGACCATTGCTATTCCCGATATTTATAGTTTTACCTTGTCCATGGATGGCGGAGACTTTATCTTATTCGCAGATGATACACTTTGATATCAAAAAACTCTGCTGAATCAGCTTAGTAAAGATAGAGAAAATTGGAAATTGCGACGATCTCTGCTAATAAATTGAAATAAATAATTACCTGACGGAAAATATATTTTATTCCGGAGAGGAATTCATAAATATGGTTCACTAAAACTTCCTATTTCTGTATTTGTCATTTAGGTGTAATTTTTATCAATACAGATTCTCGAAATAGTGTGTCAACGTAATATACAATTTAAAACTATTTTCAAATATGCCAGGTAAATAGATATGTGGGAAATCAAATTAAATGGATCACCCTGTATATTGCGCCATAAATAGAGGGAGTATCTATTTATGGCGCAATATATACTCAAACGTCCAATATAAGGTTGTTATGGTCTATACTGAAACTTTTCGACAAAAATGCCCTGACAGCTGTAATTTTATGTCATTTATCAATTTTATTAGTCACTTTATTGTTGCTTGTCTTGAAGTTAGTTAGAATCATTTATACAGGGTGAGAAAAGCTGAAAAATATTAATTTTCATGAAAAACTGAAATGGAACACCCTGTATATTATACCTAAATTAGTTACTCCTTTCAATTTTATCTGAACGTGAAAAGTCTACCGAGACGAATTAAGTATAATGTAATGTGGAAATAATATATTAAATTGATTGTCATGTGAGCGCTTATGCTGATGACACTAAATTATTTGGGAATCCTTCAACACATGCGGACGTATTGCAGAGAGACTTGAATGCTATTTCCAAGTGGTGTTCAACTTGGCTATTGCCGCTGAATGATCAAAAGTGCTCTGTGACGCATGTTGGCAAGAACAATCCCGGTTTGAATTGGTGTGACAGTAACTAACGATCTTGCGTGGTCTCCACATGTATCAAATATTGCAAAGAAAGCAAATTGCGCGATATTTTTGTTAAAAAAGACTTTTAAAAATCCTAGTCCTCGCATCGCTTGCAGGCTTTTCACCACTTACATTCGCCCAATCCTGGAATTTTGCTTACCCAGTCTGGAACCCATGGCTATTGCGTGACTGTGATGTTCTGGAAAAAGTGCATGATGACCGTCTCAAAATACTTAGTCTGCCAACATTAAGTCAGCGTCGGCTGACGTGCCCCTTGTGGTCTTAAGCAATGATGAACGCCTACGTGGTCATCCATTTAAAATAAGGAAGGAACAATTCAGGACTTCACATCGCCTGCATTTTATAAGTAACAGGACTTTCAATTATTGGAACAGTTTACCCCCAGATGTTGTGTGTGCGCCGAACTTGTCCGTATTTAAACGTCGCCTGGACAGTGTATTATTTCACAGCAATAACTAAATGTTTATTATATGTGTTGTGGTTCTAACTATCAATGTGCATAATAGGTTTTCCTCTTCACTTTATTCTTAGTAATAATAATAATATAATAAATCCGAGATTAAAAAAAAAAATAAAATTATGAACTGAGTAGCTTTGGAAAAACAATTTGAACAGTATTTTACGCTAGGGTAAATATTAAAAATGCACTATTATTATCGTTAATAGTTCCAGAAAAAAAAACACATAAAAACTAAGAACAAACCTGCAAAACAAAAAAGAACTGTTAAATTAAGTTTCAGGATATTTATTTTATGACTGACTAAAACTTTAAAGGGTCTGTTTCATGTCCTGTTTTATTGTGCGAGCAGTTTTATGCATCTGGTCTTTAACATATCCCTACAGAAAATAGTTCATCTTCGTTAGATCAGGAGATCCAGATGGCAATCTAATCGGACCACCTCTTTCTGTCCACCAGGAAATGCATTATTAAAGTAGTTCGTAATTTGATGGGCATGATGTGTAGGAGCTCCATCATAAAGTAACCACATTCCCTGTTTTACTTCACTTGGAATATTTCTGCTCTAAGTAAACTTCAATTCACTGAAACTTCAAAAAAGTGAGGCCCTACAACGTTATTTCCTATTATACCACCCCAAATATTTAAAGACCATTTTCTCTGACTGGGTGTCATCATAAAATAGGGTGTATTGTTAGCATAATAGTGAAAATCATGCCTATTTTATGGAATGTCGATTCATCCGTAAATAACACATTTTTCAAAAAAATCATCTTGCTCATTGAGTTCTTGAGGAAAATAATAAATAAGTAAAATATTATTCATAGAACTCTGAAATTTTATTAAATCTTGGGACACTTACATGAAATTCGTTTTCCTCGTTCGCTACGGTCTTGACCCTTTTCCAGCATTTTACAACACTTCCAGTTTGAGTAAAATGATTCATTAAATGCTCAAGAGTTCTTTTAGAGGGCTGCCTTCTATCGGTATACTGTTGCTTGCAAATTATCGTAGCTAAAAATTCATGGTTTAGTTGCAAATTAAGCAACTAATTACAACGTAATGGACAAAACTAATTCAAAATTCACAAGTTTCCAATAATTATTTACTTGCATGACCAACTTACATTAGTAGACTTAAATTTACATGGTCATCTTACATTCGCACTAAGAGAGGCGATATGAAAATATTATTTATAGTTCAATAATATTTTGGGCTTTAAGAAAAGCGTAATATATAATATATTTTTAAACGTTTTATTTTAAAGTGACGAATTTTTTTCTTGTGAATACCCCCACTGACATTGAAATACAACAAAATGAAATTCTCTTTATTTATTTCATGTTCCTTTCATTATTTTCAAAGTACTAGCAGCCACAGAACTAATTACAACTCTGAGGGTGTCATGAACATGTCGGTACTTTCTGCAATTATTGCATTTACGTTGTTTACCGCGTATCCAAAATACTCGTCGCGTTACATTGTGCCTTAAAAATTTCAGTTGAAAACACGGTTCGGCCAGATCATTGTTCTGCAACGCGGTTCTCCAGAAACTTGATATTATGTTGCATCAGCAAAGAGCCGTGAAAAAGGTATGTCACGGCCCGAGGGTTGTAAGGACTCTACAATTCGGTTTTAAGTGGTAGACGGGCGAATAATGTAAGGGCAGGCATTTTATACTATACGGATACGGAATGTGGATTGAGCCTCTTTCTCTCGACTTTTAGCGAGACATCAGAGAATATTGTTGCTTAATCGAAGGTATTGTTTAAAAAAAAGAGATTGGCGGATAAAACGAGCATAACCAACCAATTTACCATTTATACAGTGCCTGTGGGGCACCCCTGATTGCAACAAATTTCCGTCTTTGTCTATACCAGATGGAATTGTTTACATAATAGAACATTTGGTATTTATGAAGAACACAGAGAACCTTAAAACCGTCGAATGTGTCATAACATTCAGGGAAAATTGAACAAACACCTACAAAGCAAGGTAACTGAAGTTATTCAGTTATATAGTTTTTTATTCTTTAATAAGATTTCTTTCCCTCGATAGGATTTTCTCTTCTCTCTTCAGTAATTAAAATCCCATCCCATTTTAGTGGACATATTATAAACAAACATTACCAAATGCATGTATATGTATTTATTTATTATGAGATCAAACCTTATCTCGGAACCTGTGAAAAATCTCAAAAAATTATATTACGTCATTTTTTAATTCGTCAGTAAATTCTAAAATATTATATTACGTCATTTTTTAATTCGTCAGTAAATTCTAATATAACATAATATCCTATACCTAAGTACTCTCTTTGTGACATATGATGAATTTTATCTCAAAAGTGACGTTCATAAATCTAAATATATCTATTGATTTCTGTGAATTCTTATAAAAAGAGATCTCCTTTAGTAGTCTCTGTTGCCTTTTTTAAATAGAGACTTTTAAACATTGACGATTTAAATTAGAGAATCGCCAAAAGTGATTTTTTCATTCATGCATTCATTTCAAAACGGAGTGCCTTTTTGTAAGGTTGCCTATTCGAAAAAGGCGTCAATTTTGAAATATTCCAAATAAAACGTTCTTTATTTGCAAAAATGTTGTAAGGATTTGAACTAATCAAGAAGATTACTACGAAACACTGCCGAAAAAAAAACAATCCAGTACTACAGCGATGATGGCACCTAATATTTGCTGTGGTTTGACAATTTTTTATGTCTCTTAAAATCATGCCTGGCAATTAGGTTGACATTATTTGCTGAAAACAATTGAACAATCGAATAATTTAAAAATTTGAGAACCGTTAGGGAATTAAAAGAACCATTTTATAAAAAAATCTCAATTTTATATATATTTCTGAATGTTGCAAATAATAATCTATCTTTTTAATTTGTTTTTTTTTAATATTAGCATTTATTTTATTTATTTGGTTTTAGTGTTTTCTCTGTTATTTAGTTTTTATAAGAAAAATAACAAAAATAAACAATAGTTACGTGGCATAAAATTGTCACCACATTACTCAATTTCCTGACTCACGGCAAACTAAAAGAGTGACGTTTATTACGACGAGTATTATTATGTTTCAGATTTGGTATGATGGCGCGTTATAAAAAACCAGCGGTAACCAACAGCCAGTAGAGGTTCTGCTGTTTGCTATAATATATAACACATTATTCTATATTTCGGCCTACATAATCATAGCATCAAAAGCTATCAATTCATCACGTCTTTTTTTTTGGGTGGTATTCATATGTTTCGAGCTACGTTTGGTAACTATCTAGAGAGTCTTTCGTCTTTACGGGTAAAATTATAATTATGCAACAGTATTTACAAAGTTTTCGAATTCAGCATTTCGATATCTTACATCGGAATTGGACAAATGCATTTCTATTTAAGCTCCGCATTTGTAAATGCTGCGAGCATGTGGCCACGCAATGTGACTCGGTCACGTGCGGAGACGCGTGCTATGGAACTTATGTAACAATAATTACCACCCGAATGAAATTAAAACAGAAAGTATGAGTTACCCGATACGGACACTATTACAATTTGATTACGTATTAAATTCGCAAATTCTAAGGTGAATTTTATTTATACTTATGTAGGGTGGTGGGTATTTGAGAAGGAAGACACTTTTCACGCAGATTTAGTGTATAAAAATTTGACACAATTACCCGGACGAAAAATTTTGTTCAAGTATTGTCTAGAACCTATGATAAATTTTGTGAAAACCGTTTAGATTTAAAAGTGATAGTTTAACACTCTAAAACACGATCCTCGTGTGACAAGTGCATTAGTGACATACGTTTCAGCAATATAGTTATTAGATAATATGGAACTACTCAGGTGCATTGGAGATGCAGATGGAGCATTGCACATTGCGGGCATCGCTCTTGACGCTTTAAAACAATTATTGAAAGAAATTATATATTGGTATTGGTATTGGTATTAAAGGGGGCGCCCTCGCGGGCGTCCAAGCACTTAGGCCACCAGATGAGCCCGTTGTGCCCCCAGGCCGCTCTAAAGGGCGTCCAGAATGCCGCCCCTCCTAGGTCAGCAATTCCTTTAGCCCAATACCGTGCACTGAGTCCGGATCGATCAGGGCCGTTCCGAAGACTCCCAATCTTGCCCATGTTAAGGCAGGGCACTCGGTGAGAAGATGATGCGGGGTCTCCTCTCCTTCCATGCACCACCTACACTCTGGGTCGTCTCCAGTGCCTAGCAAGCAAAGATGCCTCCTAAGCCTGCAATGTCCTGTGTAGGCCCCTGTTAGTGCTCTACACTCCCTTCTGGTCAGTCTAAGCAGCTCCCTGGTCCGAGGAAGGGCGGGCCCATCCCATCATAAGCCTCGCCTGCCTCATTCCCGGAGCAACTCTCCAGCCCCCCGCGGCCCGGTCTCTCGCCCAGGCTTCGAGAGCTTCC